AAAATAATTAAAAAAAATAGTATCCAAGACACGATCGTAGATTTGACGAAGGATTACGTGCTCGGTATCAATATTCGGCGACTGTGTTAGGGAATCACGAAAACGCCTCGTTTTCTGAGGACAAAATTACGCATTTTCGTGCACAAAACGCAAGGAATTTTTGGTTTATTCAAGAGATAATAAAAAAAGCAAAAATTGATTGGAGGAATTTTATGTAAAATTTTCCTATCACGATCAACCATATAAGCTTAGGGGTGATGTAGCTGGCAGCAAGGCGAGCGAACGTTCAATGAAAATTAACTGTTAAACAACAATCATTTATGGTGGCCCTGAAAAGAACCGTTTTGTCGCGATGGTTGAGAAATGCTGAGCTATTAGGGTGTTCAACACGGATGAGCCTGGTGAGCTGTATGTTGTTTGGAACGAGGGTGACGCGCTTGGCATAGATGGCCCACAGCGGCTTACGAGCAACTGAACCCGACCCACAGCGGCTTACGAGCAACTGAACCCTACTTCGGCGAATGGACGCTCATGTGGGCTGTAGGCTGCAGCTCGTTGCTAGCGCGCAGCTTTTCGTTGTGTACTGAAGAAAGATGTACAACGCCACATGCCGAAAGCACTGCTGCTGCTGATGACGACCGACCAGACACCTCCACACATGGTACACAGTTCGAAAAGTAGTGTAAATTTCTGTTCAATATGATGCACACAAATGGAGCGTCATATATCATATAAGTTTACATTATATATCATGTAAAGTTCTAGCACAATTCATGCAATGTAGCAAATATTGTATACAAAAGCCCATCTTTGTAAACAACATTGTTTACAAGTTGCTCGGTTGTGTGAAATTAAATTTAAGTTTACGTGAATAAATGTTTACATCACAATTAAAATTCAGAATTTTTATCTGTGTAATTAAATAAGCACCGTTCGGCGAAAACGTATGGAATTCGATTTTGGAATCTGTGTTGGGGAAAGAGCTTTTTGCAGGCAACGGAGGCGAACCAGCCTCAGGCTGAAAGGCTCCCTAATAAAGAAAACCTAACCTAACCTTTTTGCAGGCAATCGTTGATAATTTGATCACCATTGCAACAGTTGGACATTTATGCAATTTTCAATAGTGACCTATTGAAAATTGACAAAGTATTCATTTTAGCAGACTCGTAGACAAATTTTCAATCTATTGGCTTGTTTAGAATTAAAATCCATCCGCTATTGACAGAGTTATAAGTTGTCAAAACCTGACCACTTTTCGTAACGTGGTCGATTTTGGTTTTCTGAATTTGCACCTCCAATATATTGCCGAAAGACGTAATCCTACGTCAAAAAAGTAAATTTTTAAGATGTTTAAACTTGTGTTTATTTCAAAGCTCATTAAAAATGCAAACTTTTCTTAAATGAACAAAAATGGATAGGGTAGAGCACTACTTCGGCCTAATCGCCCATTTTGGGCCTATCGAGCAGAAAACTTCAAATAAATCCTTGATTTCAGAGTTAACAAGTCAATTGTGCGTTTGGTACGATACTTTAGTTTATAAGCTAAGGAACGAAGTCAATGAGAACGCGTGATATGAAGGTTTGCATCCATTATTCCAAAAAAACAAAAGAAGTGCTCCGACCGAATCACGTTTTATCTTCATCCGATAGGCCGAAGTGAATTAATTGGCGTTTCAATGGCGTTTCAATGCGTTAGGCCGAGTTTAGAATCCGTAGGCCGAGTCTGGCGTCAAGAAGCAGTGTTAGACTTTTGAAAATATCTCAACGATTGGTTTCTTTTTATCAAATCTTACGATACGTATGGAAAGGCAAATAAATTTGGAAGCCATCAGTAATAATAACATTCCATTTCCATTAACAAATCTTGGATTAGGAAAGGCCTGAGATTACAAAATTCGAGATGATGTCGACAAAATGCGCCACAATAGTATAGCTATTGTGATATTGGACAATAGTATAGCTATTGTGATATTGGAAGAGCCAGTGTGTGGTCGGCACAGAAAGTGCTCGTGGTGAAAATTAATTGCATGGTGGTACTACGAGTGGAAGCAATTCGGGAATCGATATGATTTATTCCACAACACGAACGAGGCCATTACCGCCATAAGTCGACAAAAGATCGTGGCTTCGATATTAGCATGAAGAAACTTGCAGCGGGAGATCGAGAACCACTAGAACTACGAAGTAGCAAAAGGTCTTCATCAGGTAACTCGCCCCCACTAACTCAAATCCGGATAACTGACCAACTAACGTGGCCTCACCTCACTTCAATTGATTCGCTCTACGACAATTGTGTGCTGATGAACCCGCCAAGCCGGAGACAACCACGCTGAGCCACCAACTTCCTTCATCGATGACGAGAACGTTCTCGTACCCCTGATCCCTCGAAGCAGTGCATGCCAGTGGACGCATCCCGAAGATTCTCGATCTTGTCTACAGCAGAGCGGGATTGCGGCGAGACAGTGTGAGACACGATATATCGGAGAAAAACTGCACTAGCTGTATTGTAGCAACAGACGATCGCAGTTGAGCTGTGGTGCAACGAGAGTGTTGCAGAAGTGCCTATGTGCAACACTGGACGACGGGACGGTGCATTAGTACGACCAACGCAACAGCGTTGGATGTCGCGCGACAATCAACGGGCAGCATCGACAGCAGCAGTGCAGCTAGAGCAACATCACGGGGCCCCCCACCGATACCAGCAGTGAACATGTGCTTCTGAGATACCTACACACTACCAAAAAGTCATGTAAATTTTCGTGCCCTGAGACCGACACATGCACGTGGCCCAAATGACATACACAGATAAAAATTCTGAACTTTAATTGTGATGCAAACATTTATTCACGCAAACTTGTATTTCATTTCATGCTACAGAGCAACTTGTAAACAATGTGGTTTACAAGGATGGGCTTTTGTATACAATATTTGCTACATTGCATGAAATGTCTCAGAACTTTACATGATTTATAATGTAAACTTATATGATATGTGATGCTCCATTTATGTGCATCATATTGAACAGAAATTTACACTACTTTTTCGAACTGTGTAAGAATCAGTTGAAAGAAACGAGAAAATAAATTCAATCAATCAACTTTTCGTCGAGTTGCGTATGTTTCGGTTTGGGAACACTTCATTTTACATGACATGTTTGTTTACGTTCCATAATTTACGTCAAAGATGGATTACGTCTCGTGTAAAAATAGTTATTTTTAAGTATGTCGGAGATAACTGTACACACACACTACTAAAAAGACATGTAAATTTCAGTACCCTGAGCGACACATGCAAGCGGCCCTTTTGAGATAAGAATCAGTTGAAAAGGACGAGAAAATCAATTCAATCAAACGCACTTTTCGTCGAGTTGCATATATTTCAATTTCAGGACACTTAATTTTACATGCCATGTTTGTTTACGTACGTCAAAGCTGAATTACGTCTCGTGTAAAAATAATAATTTCTAAGTGCACACTTAGAAATAACTAATTTTACACGTGACGGAATCCACCTTTGACATAAAAGATGAGACGTAAACAAACATGTCATGTAATATTAAGTGCTCTAAGACTGAACAGTTTGTTGCTAGACGAAAAGTACGTTTGATTGAGCTATATTTCGCGTCTGTTATGACTCAAATTTATGTCAAAATTGACGCTCGTGACGCACCTAAATTCACATGATTTTTTCTAAGTTTGTGTGTATGCTCGAAATAATAGATGTATGCTTACTATGAAAATAGGTCCAGTATTATTGAGCAGTACCGCCACTTGCCTTAGTTTTGAGTCAAATTTTCTTGAGTGAAGGTTCCTTCGCTTCCGTATTGGTCCCTCGGTACCTAGCACACCTCATAGACCCAAAGTGGCTGGCCGACCTGAAAAAAAGAGTTTTAAAGTATCAGTTGTCAACACATGTTGGTGCATTCATCTTCTCAATGGTATCGATTAAGTTATGAAGCACTCACCGATACCGACCCCGGCCCGAGAGCGTGATCCGTCCGTGTATCGGTGAGTGTGCGTGGGGTATTTTCTTCTACCATTTCAGCTACACAGTTCGAAAAGTAGTGTAAATTTCTGTTCAATATGATGCACACAAATGGAGCGTCTTATATCATATAAGTTTACATTATATATCATGTAAAGTTCTAGCACAATTCATGCAATGTAGCAAATATTGTATACAAAAGCCCATCTTTGTAAACAACATTGTTTACAAGTTGCTCGGTTATGTGAAGTTAAATTTAAGTTTACGTGAATGAATGTTTTACATGGTTTACATCACAATTAAAATTCAGAATTTTTATCTGTGTACAGTCTTTTTCATGGCCACGGAATTGTCTCCGGCTTTGAACCTGTCCTTAATCTGGCTTTTGATTTTCGGTAATGGGGTTTGCTAGCTTTTGTCTCCGTGTCAGTGGACCCTGGCCACTGGGGGAAAATATTTGTTGGCAGCCGTGCGCCGTACGTACTGGTGAGGGTCCGGTGGTGACCATGAACATATCGTCGGCATAGACGAAACATATATGTTTTTCGGTAGTCGACGGAAGACTTCGTTCATCGCCACGAGGAACAGCGTAACGGCGATAACCAATACTTGTGGGACACCCGTTTCCTCGGGGAAGAGCCGGGATTTGGTGTTGCCGACTGCGACTCGAAATGAGCGGTTGGACAAGAAGTTCTGGATAAAGTGAACGATGGGTCCGTTAAGACTCCAGTTGATTAATTGCTTAAGGAAGAGGGGCGTCCACGTTCTGTTGAACGCTTTTGATATGTCGAGCGATACTATCTTGGTGTGCAGATCGCTGTCGTAGGCGTTCTGGAGAACCTGCCCTAGGTTTGCGAAATAGGTGCCAAAACCTTGTCGGAAAGCATGCTGACCATACGCCCCAGGACTTTGGCCATACAACATGTTACCGCTATTGGACGGAACTTGCTGACTTCGCGGGCTTTCCTTCCATACTGCTGGTTACCCGTTGGTGAGCCAGAGCTTGTTGAAGAGGTCTAGCATCCGTAGCTGTCCTGGTACAGGTAGCCTCTTGAGTAGAGGATATCCGATTTCGTCGGGTCCCACCGACTTCCCGTTGCTGCAGCGAAGGGCATGATGCAGTTCCTGCCAAGAGAAGACTTGGGTACACCAGTACTGGTGGTGTCGGGGGGTCTGCAATGGCTTGAACTTGTTGTCGTACACTGCTAAAAAAGTAGTGTATGTTTCCGTTACTATGATGCACATAAATGGAGCGTCATATATCATGCAAGTTTACATTATATATCGTGTAAATTTATGAGTAATGTCATGCAATATGCCATATATTGTATGCAACTGTCCACCTTTGTTTTCAACATTTCTTGCAAGCTGTTAGTTTTCGTGAAAAGGAAGTTTACATGCATGAATGTTTGCATGCATGGATGTTTACGTCACCAGTAAAATTCAGATTTTTTTGCTGTGTACTTCTCGATGGCTGCAAGGTCGGCGAAGCAGGTACCGAGTTCATCAGCTACCGTTTCCGCATCGGAAACCGTGGAACCGTTAACCTGGACGTGAAGAGGTGTCGTGCGTCGTTTCTCACTGAGGGCGTTGATTCGCTGCCAGAGGTCAGCCGAGGATTGCGATGCGTTCATCCCTTCCAGGAACTCCATCCAGCCGGATCGCTTGGCATCACGGCTTTCTTGTTGGCATTGGTTGAGTAGTTCACGATAGTGACAAAGGGCCTCCTCTCTATCGTGGTGTCCGAAGTGCCTTGCACCGGGCTTTGACTGCCTTCTTCATATCTTCATTTCACTAGCCGAGGGCTTGTCTCCCCGGCACGCTGCTAGTATTGGGGATGGCGGCCCTTGCTGCTTCGCATATGGCGTCCAAGAGGTCCTCGATACTGTCTGGGTTCCGCTGCTGTAGTAGAGTCTCCACTGTGGTGCCGTAGCTTTCCCAGTCCGCTTGTTTATACCACCATCGTGGCCTCCAGGCTACCGCCGGGACGAATATCGCCGAGAGTTGAATTTGTATGCGGTAGTGGTCACTACCGTACAGGTCAGAGTTAACGCTCCACAGCGTTTTACCAGCGATATGGCAACTGGCGGCTGTTACGTCGTTCTTTGTTCTCGAATATGTCTACGAGGTCCGTGACACGAAGGTCCGACCGAGGGCAATCGCAATTTGAGTGGTGCGCGTTGACGTCCCCGACTAGGATGCGTGGTTCAGGTAATTGCACTAGGGTCTCGTTGAGTTGACAGCTGAGGTTCCCGATTTGTCTTCTTCGTCTTCGCCTTCTTCTTCTTCTTCTTCTTCTTCTTCTTCTTCTTCTTCGCATCAAGCTTATTGCATATCGCATATTAGCTTATTGCGTGCTCTCAACTTAGTGTTCTAGATGCACTTCCACAGTTATTAATTGAGAGCTTTCGATGCCTGTACCATTTTTGCATTGGTATAATTGTGTAGCAAGTCCAATCATACTTCTATGCCCAGGGAAGTCGAGAAATTTTCCAACCCGAAAAATTCCTAGACCGAACCGGGAATCGAACCCAGCCACCTCCAGCATGGTCTTGCTTTGTAGCTGCGCCTTTACCGACTGAGCTAAGGGAGGTTCCCGATTTGTCCACATGGCAAATAAACGCAGGCAACGGTGATGTTCACTGGTTCTGTAAGTTGGATCCCGAGTATAGGTAATTGTGAGTCCAAGTCGATAACCCGGAAAAGTACCGTGTTTAGTACCTCAATGGCTACGGAGTGTCGGAAATTTCTACCGCTTTTATTTGTCCAGTTGTATCTTCCGCCGAGGGATTATTATTATTATTATTTAGCTTTATTTAGGAGGCTTTCAGCCTTAGGCTGGTTCGCCTCCACAATCCGCCGAGGGAATGGTTCATCTGTTCGACGGAGGCTTTGTTTACCTCTTGCAATGCGATGATCCAGGGGAGATCAACTTGTCAAAGAAGCTCTAGGATGCGCTGCAGGAAGACGTTTACGTTCCATTGGAGTATAAAGTTGGCCGACTTGAGCAAGGCCGGTGTGGGGTACGGGCTATTCGATACGGTGGACCCGGTGGACTGTGGTGCAGACTACCGCTGTAGTCGTCAGGCGGATCTATGAGTCGGTTGAGGAGGAAAGCAGTTTTTTTTCTACAATATCCTGATGAAAAGTTGAATCGTGAATCAGCAACAGAAATGTCACCGAAAAAGAAACAAGACGGTTCTTTGGGGAGTGTTCAACCCGAAAAATTTCTTGACCAGGCAGGGAATTGAAAGTGCCTAGGTTATTGGGAAGCCCAAAAAAATGAAGAAAGTATATAATTTTGCAAAAATTGCTGTCCAGTCTCAAACAACCCACATCAACTTAACTCAACTAAACTTATTTATTAATATGGAAAAGCGTAGGAGAATTTTCACTCTTCTAATGAATGTTTTCGATAGGAATCGCGGATTCTAATCGCCTCAAACCGTACTTTTATCATACCGGCCCACCAAAGCGCAATGAATCGCAGAGTTCGATGACGTGCCGCACATGCCGTGGTTCACTTAGCGATAATTTATTTCAATCTCTACTTAATCACATTTTCGCTCTGTTTCTCCTTTCTATCAATTTACTGTTTACCGCACATTTCATGATCGTGAAACTGTTGGTACTTAAACTCAACCCAGTAACACACCAACTGGAAGGCTTATTATAGAAAAAACGCAAACACTGTTGAGTTATTCTATTCTATTTTCGATGTATTCTTTCACATGCCGATTTCTGATTTTCATGTTGGATCTTGTGTCGGCTAGACTCAGAACAGATGCGTGTAGAATTCCCCCTTCCATCCATTTTTTTCTAACACCAGACAATAGTTTCGACAAAGGGTTCTTCTGAACAAACGCAAATACATCATGAAAACCAAGCAAAAACCCTCGTCCTTTTCGCCTGAGCAAATCCAATAAGGCCACGGAAATGGTATACACTCTTGTAGGATGTTGGTTCTGATAAGCGAAGGGAGCTCAATTCGAAAGAGAAGCATTGTAGTCGCAAAAATCATCATCAATCTCACCAACCTGCTCATAGTTCATTCACAGTCTCGAATGAAGTTCATTCTTTCTCTCGTTTATTCATGAGAATTTGTAACCTCTCTAGCTACGCATGAATAATACCTCATGATTTTATCATTATCCATCGTGCACAACACGAACCAGTCATACTAAATTTTCTTTATGTAGCATTTCGTCGTGATTTTAATTCAACTTTATTTAGCCATGTTCGTTCACTGCTCAGATAAAAACCTCCTCGAGGAAGTCGAAAACGTGCCTTGTGTGTAAAATGCGTCTATCCCGTAAAACTGATGTACGGAATGCGAATGTCCCTGTTCTATACTATGATATACCAATTCCAATAAACGTTCTAACGCCACCATCATATTCGCATGTGGGCCGATTTCTTTTATCCCCGGTGGATTTCAATGCCGTGGTGATGACACTTTGAGGTTTTGAGAAATGGTCTAACAATAATAATCAGAATGTAACTCCGGCCGAGCAAAGATGACAACGATGACGATGGAACAAGTCCTCCGTATGCACCACAAATGGCAAACATGTGCGTCTTCGTTTGCATCGTCTGCGTTCTGTGATGATGAGTGAGAGAAGACGATTGGAATAAATTATGGAAAAACGAAAAAGTAACCACATAAAGAATGAAGCAGTCTGCCTGTCGCATAAGGCTTATACAAACTTAAATTCACGATGTGTAAATAAACATGAAGCAATATAAACAAAAAAACTGCCCAGGTTTGCATTCAACACACATTTGATTCACTGTATATACCTATACATTTAGGGGAAGTTGCATAATTTTTAATGTGTTTAATGCACTGTAGAAACTAGAAACCTCTTTCGTTTACATTCAGTAAGCAAAAATTATCTGATGGTGTCCTATTTCTTCTCAGTTTTAGAATCAGTTGTTCGTTGGTTATATACAACACTGGCAATCAAATACCAACAATACAAACCAAGTTCATTTTATCAATTCCGCTTTTGGGCAGTTGGGAATGGGAATGGGAAGTTGTGTTTGATGTTTGCTCATTCATTGTTAACGAATTTACGTGCACTCATCACACCCGCAATAATGTTGTTCTATTTGATGAACCATCTGGATTGGATGGTTGCGCTTTGCGTCAGCAAAGTCTAGCAAAATGTACAAACGAAATTTTCGCATCTGCAGTATCAATGCCCAGTACTCCTAACCGACGACCCATTCGAGATTTTCTTGCAGTATCTATCATGTTATTTTGGTCTTGTGGTTGTAAGGATAGCGGCTTCTGTTGTAATTTGGAAAGGCTTGGATTGTGAGTTCAATTCCCTTTATTTTCTTGAACCAAGCTATATCTTTCAAGACAAATGCTTTAACGTTATTTCTTGGAATATTAAGTTGATTATCGAATCCATTGGTTTCTAATTGATTCCACTATAAATCTAACACTACCCCAACTATAAGTGCGAATGGGGCAATATCTTAAGCCGTTACTTTTTTTATAACCCATCCTCAATTGCTTCATTATTTGTCTTTCAGCCGTAATCCTCAAAAGTTTTTGAAACACAGTGCTTTCCCGATTTTGCTAGCTCTCGGTTTTGTCAACCCCCGATTTTGTCAGCTTTTTTTTCCCGATTTTGTCAGCCTGCAGATTTCATAAACGGCTTAACTTCCCTCTCGAAGGAAGACGTGACCAGAGATTTTTATGGCTCAGAAAAATCAAGCCGACCTCGGCTGGGATTGAACCCAGACCCATTGGGATGAGAAAGCAGTCACGCTTACCACTACACCATCGGCGCAGGTTCAAGAAATTCCATCATCGCTAATTCTCGAATTTGAAATAACATCGTCAATTGAATGGAACGATGCTTCAGCCCAATCAGCCCAATCAGCCCTATTAGCTTTTGTTTTGGCCGCTCACGCAACATCCACGGTAACTTCCCCCTACCCGTTTGTTTACGTAGCCTAACTTTTTTTTTCTTTTTTTTTTCCTTTGGTTTGTTTTCCGTCGATCTTGTTTTCCGTGCTGAGCACCAATGCTACCGACGCGCCACCAGGAAGGCAGCTCCCACACCTGGACCCTACCTATCGACCCATCACAACTCATGAACCGGGAACCAACGGCTTTACTTCCCTTCCCGATGGAGGAGGCGTGATCAGAGATGTTATGCCTCAGAACATCTCGGCGGCGCCGACTGGGATTGAACCCAGGCCTGCTGGGGTGAGAGGCAATCACGCTTACCACTACACCACCGACGCCGTTATAGCCTGACTTTGGTTTGCGATCAAAGGACTGCACAGTGGTTGAAATCGGCATTTTCGTGCGCTTAATTAATAGCTCCTTTATCATGAAATTAAGAGATATGGTGTCTTCAGAGAAGTGTTTCAATATGTTACTGCGCTTATTTTGATGTTTTTAGTTAAAAGATTAATCCCCCTAAAAGTGAGATCGAAAATTTATTTTTCAACTATTCAATATACAATGTTGGTGTCTTGCACAAAGTTGTAGAATTTTTTTTTCAAAGAACTTTGCTGAAGACACTTAATTAATATCTTTTTTACTTTTCAAGATATGTGACGTTTATTGCCGACGGTCCCTCAAAAATGGTTTTCTCATCATAACTTTTTGGTCTACATTTTTTCGGCTTTGCCATCTTCTAGTAAATTGTAGATAATAACAAAATACACAATATTGTAGAACACCTCATTGCAGTATCTTCTGTAGAAAAGAAAGTTATGGAAGTTTTTGTAGATTTTTAGACCATAATTTATGAACTTGTAACTTAGCAGGGGGCAAAATGGGGCAATAAACCCATGGTGCATCTGAAACTTTAATAAATTTACTTCAAAATGATAGCAAACATCTGTGAATGTAAGCTTTTGGAAGGTATGTTTCGTGTTAAAACTTTTTCTTCGTTATAGTAGAAAAATACGGCACGCTAATTGGGTTCAATTTAATTTAATTAAATTTAATTGATAATAAAAGTTTTTCAACATGTTTATTTCATGAATCGCTGTCGTCCTCGCTTTTGGTTTCGTTGTCATTCACAGTATCGTAAGAAAAACTTTTCAAAAGGCTTTTCGCGTCATCCGGTTTTTCGGTTTTCTTCGGCCATCCTCGAATACTTGTGATCAATGGATCAGAAGACACTAGTAGCATGTTCAGAAGATCACGATTCGTAGCTTCCCAAGTAACAATTTGAGTTTTATGAGGGTTCTGTTGACCATGATTTACACTTGTAGAGTGCTTTAAAACCTCAATAAAACTTGTAATGTTATTTGGGTTGTCTTGAATGCTTTCGGGTGTTGAATTCTCGGTATGTGTTAGATGGGTAAAAATATTTCAAAAAAATAATTACATCACGAAGCTTGTACCTACCTTTTCCAATCTTTATTTCTTGCCTCTTGCGCTTCTTCTGAGAGTTGTCCGATTGGTACCATAAAATTGTCAATTATGGAAGACCCATGTATAAGAACCTTATGGACACTTGCTGGTAGATAGTACCAGGGATATAATTTTACCAACAAGCGTTGTTGGGTGGTAGTTGAGCAAATTTGTAAAGATTCCGTTCCGAGTTCCGGTTTATTGGTAAATTACAAAATTCTTTAGTGTTCACTACCACTCAAACTTGATAACCTGTTCGTTGGTACAGTGCCGTACATCTAATCTTTGTAGTAGATAATTTGGCTTTTTAGGTCACTAAGTTTAAAATAGATAGGTAAGTTAAATAGACTAAGTTCACCAAATTTATCTAGCAAAACCGTTTAGCTAATGAATTTCTATATAAGCCGATCGCTCGTAAGTAGATAAGTTCAACTATAAGAAGGTTTAATATTAAGATAGTTTAATAATGTGTAAATAGCAGGATAAATTTTAGCACGCCGTTCGTCACGTCTGGTAATTTTTCACTCAGTCCACCTTTTCTCTTTTACGTCTATTGTTCCCTTGATGTTTGTTTTGGTAGTTTCTTCACTAGCTTTATATTCGTCCGGGTCGCTGTTGACGTGGGATGTTCAGCACCGTTACCATCGGGGCGCATGGGGTCCGACGGGCTATTCGACGTAGCGTAATCAACACTCCCCCCCGTAATGCGCTTCTGGTCATCCTGATGTGCATTGCTTCCAACGCCTACGTCGAGCACGGCAAGCTTCACAGTTGGGCGCTCGTAGATACCTCCGGAAGTCTGCACAGTAGCGCTTCGCACCTGTCCATCCGAACCTTGCTTGATTTCAATAACTCGGCCTTTAGGCCAGGTGTTCCGAGGAAGTTTCGGGTCCACGATGACAACGATGTCGTTGATTTTGATGGGCTTCACCTCCGTATACCATTTCGTCCGACGAGTGATGGAAGGAAGATAGTCTCGGAGCCACTGTTTCCAAAATTGGTTGGCCAAGGCTTGAGAAAGTTCCCAGCAATTTTTGAGTACTTCTGAGCTGTCGTCGAACGGTACCCAAGGTCTCAACCCGTTGCTTGATCCCGGTAAAAAGTGGTTGGGAGTTAGCACTGGTGACTGGTCATCGTCGAGAGGAATACTGGTTAATGGGCGAGAGTTGACAATATTCTCAACCTCCAGTAGCATGTTTTCGAGGACTTCATGGGATAACGTTCTGTTGGCTTTCAGCTTCCCAAGGTTTTGTTTGACAGTTCGTATGAGTCGCTCCCATGCTCCACCCATGTGTGGTGAGGCGGGAGGAAGAAAGTTCCAGGAAGTATGTGAGGAGGTGAACTCCGCTGCAAGCCGCTCTCGATCTAAATTCGCCATAGCTTCTTCGAGTTCTTTACTTGCCCCCTGGAAGTTTGTACCTCTGTCACTATATATGACTGCTGGTACACCTCTCCTAGCCATGACGTTTCTTAATGCCATAATACATGAATCGGTAGTCATAGTGTGAACGATTTGCAAGTGGATGGCGCGAGTGGTAAGACAAGTGGCGAGAAGTACCCAACGCTTCTCGAGACGGCGTCCAAGGATGATCATAAATGGACCAAAGTAGTCCACCCCCATATAAGTAAACGGACGAGCGTAGGCAGCCAGACGAGGCAGTGGCAAGTCACTCATGACCGGTGGTTGTGGTTGAGCACGGTCGTGCTTGCATTGCTGACAGCATCGACGAATACTGTTGTAGGCAGCCTTTAGACGAGGGATGCTGTATCGCTGCCGCAACTCGTTGATCACTGTGTTGTGGTTCTGATGATGATACTTGCTGTGGTAATGCGATATGATGAGATGTGCAATCTGATGATCTCGTGGAAGGATGATTGGATTCACCGTATCCTGCTGAACAAATGGACAAGCGCTGGTCCTACCACGAACACGGAGTACATCATGTTCATCTAAAAACGGACAAAGGTGATATATTGGACTGCTTCTGGGTATAGTCTTCGTGGAGTGTTTGGACGCTCGTATATCCAAAAGCATCGCTATCTCATCTGCGTAAGCACTACATTGAGCACACCGGAACAGATAGTTTTCAGCCATGGTCAGCTCTGAATTCGTCAGTGGTCCAGCGGTTCTTTCTTCTGGTTTGGTTGTACTCACGTTTCTGATGAATCGAAACACGTATGCGGTCCGACGTAGAAGTGGAGTCCATTTAGAGTAGTTTTGAGGATCGATGATTGGCTCCGGTTGTTTAACATGAACGAGTAAATGGGGACGCAGTTCTTCCATGGTGGTGCTATCGATGTGTAGTTTCATAGGCCATTCTCCCTCAGGGGTCTTGAGAAATTCCGGCCCGTTAAACCATCGACTAGTTCTACTCATGTCTGGCGCCCGTTTCCACTTAGTTCCATCATCCGCAACGTTCTTCATTGTCTGGATCCACTGCCATTCGCTGACCTCCGAAGCTTCTAGTATCTCACTCACTCGGAAAGCGACAAACTGACTATACCTACGATGATCAGATTTGAGCCAGCTGATGACGTCACTTGAATCGGTCCAAAAGAAGCGCCTGTTCACCTTGATGGACAGGGACTGCTCTATGCTGTTCGCCAATCTGACTCCGATTACACTAGCTTGAAGCTCCGAACGGGGAATTGACAGAAATTTGATTGGTGCCACACGAGTCTTCGATCCAACCAACGCTGTTTCGATGGTGAGTCCCTCCTTATATCGCAGATAGACCACTGCGGCGAAGCCCTTCTCACTAGCGTCGACGAAGGTATGCATCTGTACTTCGTTGGTGTATCCAGCAGATGTGGTCGTCCTGTAGCACCGCGGGATTTCCACTTTCGCCACTTCAGGAAGGACCTTCAGCCATTGTATCCACAACTCGAATTGTGCTTCTTCGATGGGGTCATCCCAACCGACAGACGTTCTCCAAATTTCTTGCAGTACCACCTTCAGGAACATCAAGAAGTGACCAATGAGCCCTAAAGGGTCGAAGATCATCATTAACGTTCTGAGCACTTCACGCTTCGTTGGTTTTCGATGTCCCGACATAAGCTCAGGATCATATCGTGGAGAGATTTTGAAGGTGAAGCAGTCAGTGGCCGTGTTCCACCACATTCCGAGTACTTTCTCGGTTGTCAATCCTTCTCCCATATTAAGGTCCTTCTCTTCCGTCGTTCGCTCGTGTAACGCCTCCAGAACAGCCGGGCTGTTCGAAATCCAACTTCTCATTTCAAATCCGGCTTCCGCATGAATCTTCTTAACATTCCGTGCAAGGTCTATAGCTTCTTGTTCACTTTCGACACTTGCGAGCATGTCATCGACGTAATGCTGATCAACGATGGCTCGAACGGCTGTCGGATGATCTTTCTCGAATCGCTGAGCGTTTGTATTTTTTACATATTGCGCAATGCTTGGAGCGCACGATACTCCAAACGGTAACACCGTCATGATGTACACACTCGGATCCGCATTGACTTGATTGTCTTTCCAGAAGAAGCACAGTCGAACATCTTGCTTCAGTAAAACCTGTAGATACATCTCCCGGATGTCCCCGCAAATTGCGATCCGGAACTCTCGAAATTGGACAAGAACTGCAAGTAGTGAAGTCAAGAGGTCAGGGCCTTTGAGTAACAGCGAATTGAGAGAAACGCCATACGCGGGAGCAGCTGCGTCCCATACTAGCCGCACCTTACTCGGTTTGTTGGGGTTCACAACAGGAAATACGGGCAGGTACCATTCCTGAGACCGATGTTCGTTGAGTTCGTCCTCCGTTAGCTTTCGAACGTATCCTTTAGCCACATATTCGCTCATCTTCACCATCACAGTTTCCGAAAACTCCTTATCCCGCTGCATACGTCGGTCTAAGCATTGCCACCTTCTAAAAGCCATTCCTTTACTGCATGGAAAGCGAACATTATCGTACTTCCAAAGGAGACCCGATTCGTACCGCCCTTCTTTTGGGATTGTCAGCTTCTCAAGCATCTCCATGGCACGTTGATCCTCCGTTGATCGCAGAACTTTTTCTGGTTTGACAACGCCAAGACTATCCAACGTGAAGTAGTTCTTCATAGCAGCGTGCAGGTTTTCGTCAGACTCGAGGTTGCATTCACACACTTTAATCGTGTGGACATTCACGTAGCTTGGCTGTTGCTGTGTTCGTGAACAACTCCCGTAAACTATCCATCCCAACCGTGTTTTGACTGCGATAGGTTCGTAAGGCTTTCCTTCTCGACTTTTCATAGCATGCCCAAGCGATGTATGGTCAAGACCAATCAGGATTCGAGGACAGATGTTGCTGTAGGATTCGACAGGTAGTCCGCCGAGGTGTTGAAACCGTTGCAGCAATTCTGAGTACACTAATGTCTGCGGCCGCAGTTGTAGGTTCTGAATCGTATGTACGTTAGACATCCTGTGCGGCTTCGAAGTATTTCCGATAGCTGATATTTGCACCTCTACTTTCTGGGATGCGTTCTCCACTCTTTTGGTACCACCTGTCCATTTTAAGCACAGCGGCGATCGAGGTCCTTTCACGCCTAGCTCCTCTGCTAGGCTATCCTCCATCAGCGTCAGCTCAGAACCGTCGTCTATGAACGCGTACGTCCGGACAACCTTCGATGGACCATGGAGCAACACGGGAACAATTCTAAACAGCACTTCGCTGGTTTGAGCTTGATGGACGTTGCAGCTTCCAGTAGCTGGTGCCTCCTGCTTTTCGTTGTGCAACAACGGATGGTGCAAAAAAGTGCATCCTTTAATTCCGCAAGGTTTCTGCTGCCTGCATGAACCATTGTGCTTCCGCAGGCATTTACGGCATAGCTTTGCCTCCCGTACAACTGCCCATTTAGCATCTAGACTTAGTTCGGCAAATCGTTTGCACTTGGCAACTGTGGTACAGCTACCTTTGCATGTGGCGCATTCTGTGATTGGCACCAAAGATGATCCTTGGACAGCGCGTGTCTTTGCTGGCATTGATCGGGATCGTTCTGGTTCTGCGTCAGAGTGAACGTTTATAAATCCGTCATTCTTTGTTCCACGACTTCTTTGCGTGTTAGATGCAATTGGCATAACTGCACTAGCATCTTCCGCTATTGAATACAGCCACTGACTGAAGTGTAATAGGTTTGGTGCTGGGTTATTCCTAGAATATTTTGCCCAATCCAGCTTCAACCCGGGGGGAAGGCGTTCCACCAGTTCAACTTTCAAAGCCGCATTGTAGATGAAATCCTCGACTCCGCATGCCTCTATCGTAGCTACCAAGTTTTCAACTGTCAATGCGAAGTTGACCAATGTGTCAAGTTTCTCCACTTGTGGCGATGGTAACGACCGAATCTTTCTAATGGATGCCTGAACGATTGCTTCTGGTCTACCGTATAGCATTTTCAACGTAGAAATTACACTGCTAACGTTGGATGGATGGAGTAGTCGGCATCGAACGGCCTCTAAAGCCTTTCCCTTCAGACATTTCCGAAGTCGAAGCATGTTTTCTTCGTTAGAGAAGCCGCACATTTGCGTAGAAGAAGCGTACATTGAGAAGAACAGAGGCCAATCTTCAGGATTTCCGTAAAACTCTGGTAAATCCTTAGATACGGCCTGACGTGCAACCACCTGATTACGGCTTAGGATGCACACGTTCGCTTCGACATCACGAGGGTCTGGCTCCGGGTAGTGGGAGTTTTGGAATGGTGTATCTCCTTGCAGTATTCGACTCCTCGATGCTGAAGTTTGTGTATACTGGTTTTCCGGCACGAAGGTAGGTTCTGACCAGAACTGACCATTTGCAGCTGTGGGTATCTGCCGTGAGCCCTGGACTCTTGGAACTGGAGCTGCCTGAGAGGCTTGCAATGATGGATGGAACTGAACTCCTGAAGCTGAAAACTGTCGTGAATCCTGTGGTCGGTAGTTATGAGTAGCTTTCCAATGAGCTTGCGGTTGTTGAGCCTGGTTTCCTTCTAAAGCTGTCGTTGATCGATGAATTTGAGGTTGATAGAATTGGTTTTCGAAAGCAGGCGGTGGAGGTGGTCGTATATGAAGTTCTGGAATCGGTGCTGGTGGCTGGCGGTGCTGATTATCTGAAATAACAGCTGGCAGCGGCTTGCGGAATGGATCCACTGGATAATGTGCCGGTGGACGACGGAACAGGTCTGCTGTCACTGGAGGCTCCTGTATACGGCTTCTCGATCTTGAATCGACTTGAACTGGCTCTCGAGGTGTCGACCGTTGATTAGGAACAAAACCCTGTAGAGTTGATCGTGGTTCTGCCTGCTCTCCTATCGGTGCCTGTTGAACGACACGTTGCGGTTGATCATCGTACATATCTTCTTCAACAAGGCCGGAATCATAATCTTCACCACATTTTTCCGTATCTCTCAACCATCCTCGAACTTTCGAAATCTCCTCGGATCCAACGTCATCATCACTCACCACAGTTCCATCGTCGTCGTCATCTTCTTCGTCAATGATTCGATATTTCTCGTCCAGGAACCTTTGCTCCAACTGCTTCTGCTCTTCCAGCTTCTGCAACAGTCGATCAACCTTGCGTTGTTTGCTGCGATTACTGCTTGCCTTTCCGATGGACTTCGTTGATCTCATAACGTTGGGGGGTGGATCTACCGGATGAATCTGCTGGAGTATTGGTCTCTGCTGCACTAGATTACTTGCATCGAAATACATGTGTGGATGACACTGTGGGCACATCCAGGAATAATTCGCTATGTCGCGACTTACTTCTACACAAGAAAAATGATACCACTTATCGCAACCATCACACTGCACCATTCTACTATTGTCACGTTCATTGCACACTTCACAATGACTGAACCGAGTACCTCGAACGTTTAGGTTCGGATCATAACGCGCGTTGGGTTTCGCGTAAACGACAGCGTTCATCGACCGGACGGGAATGTCTACGACATGAGTCCCAGTATGCATTTTGGGTTTGGCTCCCTTGGTTTGAGCCTTTTTAAGATTGGCAACGTCAAAATTTACCTGAGAACTAGGAAGGGGAGGAACTCCTTTTACCGCAGCTGCATTGCGCCTTGCGCCTGTTACCGTTGAGCCCTTCGCTTCGCGTTCCGCGTTGGTCACGATTGTGAGGCTTTTGGTTTTGGTAACTACATCTGCATCGGTTGCCGAAATTTCCTTATCTGCTGCACCACCGATCGTGCCAGTAGCAAAAAGATGGCTGACAGCACCCATGGCAGAACTCAATTCTGACATGGAAAGGGTTGATGTTTTGCGTGACATCCTCGATGTTCTTAAAGAATTTTGTAAGATGTTGGGTGGTAGTTGAGCAAATTTGTAAAGATTCCGTTCCGAGTTCCGGTTTATTGGTAAATTACAAAATTCTTTAGTGTTCACTACCACTCAAACTTGATAACCTGTTCGTTGGTACAGTGCCGTACATCTAATCTTTGTAGTAGATAATTTGGCTTTTTAGGTCACTAAGTTTAAAATAGATAGGTAAGTTAAATAGACTAAGTTCACCAAATTTATCTTGCAAAACCGTTTAGCTAATGAATTTCTATATAAGCCGATCGCTCGTAAGTAGATAAGTTCAACTATAAGAAGGTTTAATATTAAGATAGTTTAATAATGTGTAAATAGCAGGATAAATTTTAGCACGCCGTTCGTCACGTCTGGTAATTTTTCACTCAGTCCACCTTTTCTCTTTTACGTCTATTGTTCCCTTGATGTTTGTTTTGGTAGTTTCTTCACTAGCTTTATATTCGTCCGGGTCGCTGTTGACGTGGGATGTTCAGCACCGTTACCATCGGGGCGCATGGGGTCCGACGGGCTATTCGACGTAGCGTAATCAACAAGCGTGCTCTCTCAATACAATAATTGTCAAATGATATTGAATAGATTTCGCAACCTGATCCTATAGATTTGAGAATTGAACCACCAGCGCTGGATTGCTGTTAGATTTAGTTTAGTGATGTCTGCTACTTGTTACGCGTTTGCAAAAAAAGCTCTTCTGCTTGATGTTTATCGATTTCAACTGGAATATAAGAATGATTTAAAAAATAGTTCTTGGCATAAATTCCAAAACATAGACAGTCAAATTTCAAATTAAGATATTTTACATACCGATGGAGGCCATTTATACAGTTGAAAACTGGGCACTGTTACCATGATTCGTGTACACAATAGAGCTTTCAAACCACTCTAACACTAGGTGCGGCAGTTCTGATGAAATAGCATGCACATTTAGGCACGGCTATCACTATTTTGTTTAAATCATAGTTTACCAACAATCACTTACATTCACAGATGTTTGCTATCATTTTGAAGTAAATTTATTAAAGTTTCAGATGCACCATAGGTATATTGCCCCATTTTGCCCCCTGCTAAGTTACAAGTTCCTAAATTATGGTCTAAAAATCTACAAAAACTTCCATAACTTTTTTCTACAGAAGATACTGCAATGAGGTGTTCTACAATATTGTGTATTTTGTTATTATCTACAATTTACTAGAAGATGGCAAAGCCGAAAAAATGTAGACCAAAAAGTTATGATGAGAAAACCATTTTTGAGGGACCGTCGGCAATAACCGTCACATATCTTGAAAAGTAAAAAAGATATTAATTAAATGTCTTCAGCAAAGTTCTTTGAAAAGAATTTTTCTACAACTTTGTGCAAGACACCAACACTGTATCTTGAATAGTTGAAAAAATAAATATTCGATCTCACTTTTAGGGGGATTAATCTTTTAACTAAAAACATCACAATAAGCGCAGTAACATATTGAAACACTTCTCTGAAGACACCATATCTCTTAATTTCATGATAAAAGAGCTATTAATTAAGGGCACGAAAATGCCGATTTCAACCACTGTGGACTGTCGTAATTTTGCTCACAGAAACTGATAGGCTTTTTTCAATTCTTGGTCGATAATTGTCTCTATGTTTATTTTGCAATACAACTTCATATTAATACAAACTATATCAAGTACTAGAGAAATCACTCGCTTACCTGATTGTGTTGTTATTTTTCGAAATTGTTCTTTTATTCGTGAGAAATCAGTGATTGAAAGTTTATTTTGTGGCTCAAGGGAGTGAATCTACTAAAGTTTAGTGCATTATTCCCAATCGCCATTAGCAGCTCCAGGAGTATTAGAGGGGGTCACGTTTCCCCCATTTGTCGTCAGTTTTGTCACTTTAGCCACAAATGTAGCAAGCAGTTTTTGCGTGTTATCATAAATTGTCTACATTTAACATGTAACCGTTCACGAATTTTCGTTGAGGTTTTCGTAAAACTCAGTGGCTTAAGCGCCACTCTCGATTAGGAGAGACCACTGGTCATGTTCGAATTTTGCCCGATTTATGAGACCTTATCTCAGAGAACCTCTTGAACGGTTTCCGATTACTAATGGCACAACTAACCTTAATATCAAAAGTAAAACGCCAAGTCCCGTAGAACCGCGGATATTATCGGAACGAAAGAATTACTCTGACTTACCCAGAACATGAACGAAACGGAAAGAGAAAGAAGAAATTCTTACTCAACTGAGCGGTAATCGAAGGAAAAACTGAACGTAAGATAGCGAGTGTCTTTTATTCCAGGGAAAAAACATTCTAAAGCATAAAAAACTAATCTTTAATTTTCATTAAACACTATTATTGAGTTCGTTTATTCGGGTTGGACTTCTGGATGAGTGTACGGAAAAAGAGCAAATCATGGCCATGAATAAAAACATGTTTTAACATACCTGCGCAGGTTTTTCGACGCGAAGAACGACGGCTCGATGATGGCTGACGGTGGGGACTCGACGACTCGATGATGGCGACGGAAGGCGACCTTCCAGTTAGCGTGGCGATGGCGGCGAGGCGTGATGGCGCCGCACATGAGCTGCAGTATGGCGAGCAGCGATGAAGGTGACCCGTGCGCAGTATGGCCGAACTAGAGTTGCGGAGAGAGTGGCAGCTGGACGGAAGGCTTCCGATTTAAGAGCCGATCGGTAGATTATTCCGAGAGCTGAGCATCGACTGTAGTCGTGCTTTCCCGGGAGATTCGCCCCTCAGAGAAAAGAGGGCCAACTTACCGCCGCACGGCTTCGCGTACTAAGCTTCCGCTATGACCGCCCGGGATGGAATGAAACCCACCCTTCTCCTTGGATTAAATCCGGACCGTGGTACGCTCTTGGCTACGCACTCAAACGGTCCGCGCTCTCGGAAAGAATGGTCCACAAGAGGTTGTAGCGGAAAAAGGACCTCGTCGACGGTTGATTGGCGACCGTCGGAAAACTTTCGCTCCGAGGAGTAGCGAACTTCACTCTTCTCCGTTTAGCTACCTTTGAACAGGCGGGCCTTCGCTTGGCGCACGAGTCTGATGATTCGTTTCACACGGACGACGGAATAGATGCCACTTAATAGTCCCCCTTGTCCGGCCTTGCGATAGCCGAACCGAAGATAAAAATCCAGCCCGTACAAAAAAAGCGCAAAGCGCTTTTTTGTACAAAATTCACTGAAACAAAACGAACAGACTACGTGGAATTTAAAACAACTACCTTAGCTACACTTTTAAGGCAATTCTAAATGCACAAACGACATTTAACGAGAACTTAATTCGCGCACTTCTGTTCACCAGCCGATTCGAAAGCGAAAACGAAACAAAAAACCGCACAGCGTTACAAACAGCTTATAACAGCTAAATGTTAATGCCACACGAATAATATCCTACGAATATCTCGAAAATAACAACCCTAGGCAATTTGAACACGGTCAGCTTTTTTTGTAGCAAATTCAATGTTTTTTTTTTAATATTTACATTATTTCAAAGATAATTGAACAACTACAGTATATTGTAAAATGCTACTTTTTTAAATAATTCTGTTTTTTTTGTTTATGAGTTGTCCTACACTGAAAAAAGTTTTCACTTAGTTTCTATTAGGAACGCACATAGTATTTTTCCAAAAACAAAAACAATGATTTTTACCTGAGTATCACATAGCATTACAAATTCTATATGAGAAATCATATAGATTTCATTGTACACATAACGTTCATGTGATTTAGTGGTGCAATTTCCAATTATGGGATCAGATGAAAGTTATGTGAAATTCACATGGATATTTTCCACTGGTTATGTGATTTATTTTATGAGTGTACTAAAACACATTGTCAGTAGGTTACGCGTTATCTATACTACAAAAAATATAGGATAAATGACGGCTTCGGCAGTACCTCATTCTTTTGTCGACAGGGGAGTAAACAACGTCCTTGAGAGCTCAATTTTGGCATGTGGATGCATTGTGTTTCAGAGCATCTATTGGACAAATTTGAGTGCTCTAGGACTTTGTTTACCCCCTGACGATAATAGGTTAAGGTATTGCCGAAGTAAACATTTCGGCTTTATTTTTTTATATATGTTATTTGAGTTATTTTTTTCGTTGATTTAAATTTTTTTGTCTCTATTAAACAATTTTTTTCTTAAAAGGCACAATACTTAGCCACAATTTCGCCTAAATAAATTGATGCGTATCATTGTTGCGTACATAGTTGCGTACCAAATCAATGAACCAAATGTGTAAAAATGCATGTTGGGCAATAACACACAACTGAGCATAGTTTTAACTTGATCGTTAAAGGTTGATCAAAAACTTAAAAAAACCGACATTTGAAATAGAATCACTCGTATCAGTCCCATATGGATTTTCGTCAATTTTAAGGT